CAACAACAACAACAACAACAACAACCACAACAACAACAACCACAACAACAACAACCACAACAACAACAACAACCACAACAACAATCACAACAACAACAATCACAACAACAACAACAATCACAACAACAATCACAACAACAATCACAACAACAATCTCAACAACAACAACAATCACAACAACAATCACAACACTACTTTACTTGAGCAATTTTAAGCAGTTTTTTTTTTTGTTAAATTTTGATTGGAAGCTTGAAATAAACATTGATGTGGACCGTTCTCTCCTTTTTTAAATTTTTTTTTTCTTTTTTTTTTTTTACTTTGCAACCATTTTGTAACTTTTCTATAAATTTTNATTTTTTATGTTTTTTTTTTTTGTTTAATTTTTATTGGAAGCTTGAAATAAACATTGTTGTGGACCGTTTTCTCCTTTTTTTAATTTTTTTTTTCTTTTTTTTTTTTTACTTGGCAACCATCTGGTAACGTTTCTATAAATGATTATAGACTGTCACATGTAGGCGAAGCCGCATCACGTACACACACACACACACACACATACACACACACACACATACACACACACGATAACACACACAATAACACACACACCATAACACACGCAATAACAGACGCAATAACAGACACACCATAACAGACACACCATAACACACACACAATAACACACACACATACACAAACACAATAACACACACAATAACACACACACACAATAACGCACACACCATAACACATGCAATAACACACGCAATAACACACACAATAACACACAAACATACATAAACATACACATACACACACAATAACACACAATATAACACACACACAATAACACACACACAATAACACACACAATAACACACACAATAACACACACATACACACACAATAAAACTCATATAAAACACACATATACACACACATACACACATATACACACACACACATACACACACAAATACACTCACATACACACACACAATAGAACACACAATAACACACACATAAACACACACATACACACACAATAACAACCACAATAACACACACAATATAACACACAATATAACACACAATATAACACACAATATAACACACACAATATAACACACACACATACACATACAATAACATATACAATAACACACATATAACATACACATACACATTAACACACACAATAACACACACAATAAATTCTAACACACTAACGCACACACGTTATATATATATATATATATAATGACAATACATTGACAGTTGACAGTCGTGTATTTCTTCCAATTGATGACACTGCAGAAGTCACAGCGGCGAGTGTGGACAAGCCACCGGGTCGGCGATTGGGGAAAAAAAAGACGGTCGGAGATAACGGATGGAGGGGGGGGGGTAAATGAAAGGGAAAAGCTGGGCAAGGAGATCAGCTCTCGTGGTGTTCTCTTGTGGACCTGCCCTGGCCCCCGAGTGTACGGTCAGATAAGATAAAAACTCAAGTTGGCATATCATGTTCGGGCTTGTTGTATAGTAAGCGGCGGGAGCGCCCCAACCCCACCTCATGACCGTGTAGGGTAGCGCCATCGGCCCCCTCATTGGTAGCGCTCTTTGAGTATCGGGAGGGGGGGG